TTCGCTCAAAGCGACGTATCATGGCTAAAGGAATGCTATCTAAATATTGTGTAATGTTTTGGGAGAGGGATCTGCAGCTATAATCACATTCTTCCCTGGTAATTCTCTTTACAGCACCCCAGTATCTTTCAATAAAATTGCATTCGCAATGAAACTTGGGGTACAGATCGAATACATGGCCAGCATTTTCAACAGTTTCTGCAAGAGCTGTCACCTGTCTCTGAAAATCAGGATGGGACCTAAGAAGATGACGAGCACAACACCGGTTATCAGATGTACCAGGGCTGTTCTTACATGTCAACAATAGACCAGGAATCCATGCGCCACGCTCTTGCAAGATCTAAACCATTTTATAAATGATAGATACAGAACAAGATCTTGGTGCACAGAAAACATATATATCGGTATTAGCTTCAAGCTAAAAAAAATATGATCACTTACTCTTTTGATGCCTTTGAACTTCAGTTGTCCATTATCATCTTTGAAATACATGTTTTGCGGCTTTGGTACCCTCCCATACCCGGAGAGCTCGGTATAAAACCATCCGGACTTAAAATGGTTGCCAGGATCGGCATCCGCGTCTATGGGATGCAGACTCATTCTATTAACGCATAACGCATCTGGTGCAAACGCGTTATGATTGCTACTCTGCTCGAAGCAGAAAATAGCTACTTACGATCGTTAAAAACTCAAAATCAAGTAATATATAATATTCTCCCTTCACGGGCACATACCAATGCAATCGTCTCCATGTAGTGCATTGAAGATCGGGATGGCTCGCTCGCGTAATTGCTTCACCATATTCATGCTAGTCCAGTAGCCGTCCCTATTCGCGCCAGGATAGAAGATTGCTCTGGATTCCTTGAATTGGAGATCACCAAATCTTTCATCATCTGGATCAATCTTCAACGATCCATGGCAGGAGCACATAAAATCAGAAATCATTATTGATTGACCTTGACTTTTAGGTGTCAAAACGGTTTCTTCCTCAGTGAACCATGCAGATTTGACACCGTCGTTCGAGTAGAAAATGCATTCGTCGTGTGTAACTAGCACATAACGGGTATCGCCATTACGTACAGTGTCCGGAACACACTCGATTTTCCATACTCTCGCCGGTGTATGTGACCATATTTTTGGCGTATGTCAGCATTCTCTTGGTCTATTCCTTTCTATATTTCACCACATCATCTCTTTCGTGACCATCGTAAAAAACCTATAAAAGAATCTGAGCTCAGCCTACAATATCTGCTCGATCTGTATATCCACTCAACTTATAAATCCGTTCAACCGATATATCCACTCAATGCATATAGATAGTCAAATGGTAAAAAGCATTCATACGTACATTCTTCATATTTCTTCGGAATTTGTATCCCCACAAGTGCAAAGCTCTCGCAACTGTTCGTTCGCCAATCGACACCGGCACACCGAGCTTTCGTGGGATGATATCTTCTTGCAATTTTTTTCTGATCAGCTCCACTTTTCTTTGCTGTGGGGGCTGCTCTTTGATCCACTTGCAAATTGCAAGCTTGATATCCTCATCAGCAAGCAGAGAAATTCGCTTGGAATGCTTGCCTTGGCGATGAGCAGTCACTTTGCTAGTGAGAGCATATGATTTAGTCCACGATCTGATTGCCCAACCCAAATACTGTATGGAACCACCACCTAATTGTTTCGCAATTCTTTCAGATTCAACGATTTTCTGTTTCTTTTGGCCTTGGTGCTCGATTAGATATCCCAGGAATTGCAAGACACAATTGTACCGTAGGACATCGTATGGCTTCATTTGGCCTGATGGCGACTGCTGTTTTCGGCTGGTCTGCATCAGTTGTTGCAAAGCCGCATGTCTCTCCTTCATTAGCGATTGATCTTCGAGAACGATCAAGGCTTCATCTGCAGCTGACAATGACGATGGATCGGTGGTCGATGACGCAGCAAAGAACTCTGTTATTTTTCGATGCTTTTTACCTGATGCAGCGAGCTCTCTTGCATTTCTATGACGGCGCTGTGCAGTTTTTTTGCCATTTCCTGTATTTGGAAACGGCTGCAGTAAGAAGATAAACCAGTCAACAAACAAACTAGAAGAAATAAGACAATCACACCTCTATAGTCTGGAAGGTAGTCATCAGCACCATCTCTCCACTCAAGACTCAAATTGGTGGCAGAATCTACTAAGGCTGTTGCAGAAACTCCAAGCAGCTGCCAGTCCTCTGCGTCAGCAGCGTCTTGATTGGTACTTTCGGCAGTATCCTCCCACATTTCATCGTCGAAATCGAAAAGCTCATTGTATTCACTTTCGTTCACGTTATCCACAAGTGGTACCCAAGTAGGCTCATTAACGCTAGTAATGAGGGGTAGGATGACTAGGGGTCGCAATTGGACGGGTCGGGTCGGGTCAAGGGTCTGACCCGTTGACCTACGGGTCAAGAAAACACTGACCCAACCCGACCCGTTCAACCTGACGGATCAAAACTCGGGTTGACGGGTCACTACTGATTTTGATTTGGTGACAAAGGAGGTGTCAATCAACCTGAGCTTAAGCACTGGAAGTGCAAAACTACATGTATACACAGCTCTCTAGGATGATGGCACGCAAATTCCTAGCAGTGCTAGCAATATCTACGTTTTGTGTGATTATTCTTAAAGGTAAAGGGGTTTGTGCCATAACAAAAGAAATCGTTTGCACTCACATGCATTAAAGAAAGCATAATGGTTAAAGTGTGGTTAAATATCGACTTCCTTTAAATGCCCCTAATCCTTTTCCCTTTTCCCTTTTCCCTTTTCTTTTCATTTCTTCCTTCTTCTTTCATTTCTCTTTTCTTAATTCCTTCTACGTCTTTTGTCAAATCTCGTCTCTCACTGCCACTCTCTATTGTCTATTCTCATTGTACTATTGCTACTTCTTTACTTTGCTACTTCTTTACTACTATTACATATATTGCTTATAGCTTACTTATCTTACACTTTTGAATATATCATAAAATATGATCCCACAATGAAAAAGAATATAAGTACATTTTATGTTACAGTTCTATAGCAGACATATTGACAACTAATCTTTAATATAATGATCCTTCCCAACAAGAAGATTGACTACTTGAATACAGCTACCTCATAGATATCATATGTATACACGGGTCACAATGGGTCAACGGGTCGGGTCAAGGGTTAGATGGGTTGACCCACGGGTCAGAAAAGCATCAACCCGACCCATTGACCCGTCCTCAACCTGCGGGTCAGTTTTGACCCGTGGGTCAGATTGCGACCCCTAAGGATGACTTAATGTAAACAAACTACTCTCAAATGATTCTTAAAAACTGATAGTTCTCTTTGAATGCACAAGAAATTTACTTGAGTGTGTTCTTTGACTCTTGCATGGTTTTAAGGTGCTTCTGGCGCTTGTTGAGTCTCCCCATTGTATGGAATGTTTTGGAGGAAGAAGGAACAATAAAACTTTGTCATCCTACTTATAATTTACATGGCACCATTACAGTCAATGTTGATTGGAAGGCTGAGGTATATATTGCACCAGCGCTTATCACTAATGTTACACTACCTTCCTAATATGGAGATCGCCGATTCAATGTCATACACTAGTGTATGGTGGGGTGGACATTCTGACAAAATCCTCTGCTAAATTTTCGAATCTACCCCAACTTCGACGCTTTATTTCTCAATTTTGTTTTGCCTGTAAGTAAATAAAAACGCTTCATAGAATTGCTCTTTGAGCCTCTCTCTATCGTTCTATGAAGCCAACAAAGTGGGTTGTATAAGTGAAAAAGTTGAAATAAAACATCAAAAATTGGTCCAAAAATTTACGTTTCTAGGTGGTGGGTACCATATTATACAACATTTTCATTCATCCGATTTTTAACTTCTATTAGTATATAAGTATGGGCTTTTTTAATTGGCATGAAACCAAAATTGTAGTAGTATTTGTAAGCTAACAAAGTATAGGGTGTTTATTTTGACAAGAAAAAAATGTGAATAAACGTGCCAACGAAACTTTCTTAAATGATAAGAGCAACCCGATATACAAAAGTTATTCGATAAAAAACAAATGTTAATAAATCAAAGGAATAAGATATACAAAATGAAAAATATGCATTACAGAGTTAACGCAATACAATATAGAGAAAGGATTATTTGTATGGATATAATCGATTACTTTTGGGAAGAGGATGATGAGTTGGATGCAGTGGCTTTTTTTTTTGGAAGAGGATGAAGAGTTGGATGCGGTGGGTTTTCTTTTTTTTGGAGTAGGTATTGGAGTAAAACAGGGGGGAATGGAAAGAATTTCTGCAGGTTTCTTAAATCCATACTTGAGAACTCCATCATTTGCTTTTTTAGTATCGATGCTTTAAAGAGTGTTTTCCATTTGCATCTTGGTTCCATGAATCGTTTCAAATATCAGTTTGATTAACTTGATAAAATTGCAAGGTTCTTCCGGATACTGCAGTTCTTCTAGGAATCTCGATAAACGACATACGTATCCTTTTGGATTGTCTACCACCAGTTGATTCATATAGAGGCCTGAATATATTTTTAGACAATGTTTCAAAAACCAATACATCATGACCATTAAAAACAGCATACCAGATATGTTGAATCCACAAATCATAAGATCATGTTGAATGCCGGGATATATTCGCATCACTCGTAATAACATGTCCTTCATAGTTTTAGGGCACTTCAACTCGAGTTCATTAATCGCCTTGTTACTGTCTATTCTTAAATCCAAGCCAATTTCGGTAGTCTCATATTCATTCATTGTTTGCAGTGTATAGAATAAAAGATCAGTTCGTGTCCCAAGAAATCGCCTAGGTGCTTCAATTCGATTTGTTTGGTTGTTTTTTTTTGGATTCTATTGATGGTTGATTTTTTTCGTAATGCTGATGCATAGCTGTTTTTTTTACCACTGTACCAAGTAAATCAGATTATATAATTATCTTGTTAACAATGATGGTATAATAATTAAAAGAAGATTCAATATGTACCTAGTAACCATTATTCTTGAATTATTGTCGAAGCATAAATAGATTATCTGCCACACACGATGGAGCATGTCTGACTCGGATTTTACATCTCTTTTTAAAAAACTACAATGATATAGCTCCAATGCATTTATAATTGAGGTTTTCAACCAATAAACTTCTGGATCTTGTTTTGGGTCGAATACTTGTTCGTTCACTTTGTTCCAAAGGTCATCCAATGTGGTCTATTTAAATTATTCATATCATTTGACATTTTTTTAGTGTATGTTTTGTTTTGTTTTGTTATATTACCAAATTATCAAACTGTTGCAAATATTTTTCCATCTTTGATGACAAGGGTGGCAATTTTGGTGGGTTGAGATTAATGATTTCTTCTCTTTCTTCTTCAGTGAAATAAGTGGACCAAATTGGATCCAAAGGGTCCATTATCATGGAGTGTGCACCTCTAAAAATGCTATAAAATAAATAAATGTTGTATATCAACAACAAAAGAAAATCGCTAATGACAAATGAAAATAAAATATGTACGTACTGTTCCAACTTGTTCTCATTTGCACATTGTTGCATCACTTTTTCAACTCTTCTACCAGTACATGATAACGTCCACATTTTTTTATCGATTAAACCTTCATAAACTGAATCAACGTTATCGGCTTCGATTACTGATAACAAATGACGTCCTGAATTGTTGCTGCTGCTTGTACTTGATGTTGTAGATAGTTTTTGTGATTCAGAAGTTGGTGTCTATGTTATGAACGTATAATCGTATATACACAAAAAAATAGTGTTGAAAAAAAAAGTTTGTAAAAAATAACCAAATGGTTTAAAATGGAATGCATCAAAAACACAAAAAGCAACAATAATAACAAAGATCTATATGGACGTACCTGTGAATCAAAAACCTCAACGGATGTAGGACTATTGATGACAGCAGAATGGTTGATGCAGTTGAGTATAGCTTAGTACCAATCGGGGTTACCCAAAACCTTAAAATGGTGAAAGAAATAATGCTCAGTAAGCAACATGAAGAAATATACTCATAACAATAATAATCGAGTGATGTTGAGAGAAAGAAAAAAGAGTTATACTAACGGGTTTTTTATCTAAACTTGCGGCAACCGACTTGTACTTCCTGCTCTAATACTACTTAATATCAAAGTCTTTTGGGTAAATATGCTTGGGTACTTCAGTTGTTACAAAATGTTCGAGTGTTAGGTATTCCACAGAGTCAAAATATTGTAAAAGCGCTATGATAACCAGAAAAGTAGTTAGTTCGTAGTCACCAAACAGCTATTTTTTAAGTCAAAGATTCTTTACAATCTGTATTAGTGTCGTTGGTTTCCATGGTGAAGAGTAAGGGTTAGTTTCTTAGAAACAGGCTTTTTGGGGCAGGTCTATTTGCACACCCCCTCGTGATGTGCGTGACTTAACATTGTCTATTATATTATAGATAGATTGGCAATAGTGTGATGTCTGCTCATTTGGATCTCAAGTCAATAGAGGGGTGGTGCAAATAGCCGTTCCCCCATGGACACAAACAAGTGATCATTGTGCATGCCTTGCCTTCATCAAATGTCCGTTTGGTCTCTACACAATGAGAGGGTTTTTTTTGTTCTTTTATTTTTTTTAAGCTAAGACCGCTACTGTCATTATTATCATAGAAATGTCCAAGTGATCATTGTGCACGCCTTGCCTTAATTTATTGTCTGTTTGGCCACTACGTAGTATGCCTCACCTTCAATAATTGTACGTTTGGTCTCTACACAGTGTGAGCGTTTTCTATTTTTCATTTTTATTTTTTTTAAGCTAGGATCGCTACTGTCGTTATTATCATGGAAATGTCCAAGTGATCATTGTGCACGCCTTGCCTTCATCAATTGTCCGTTTGGTCTCTACACAGTGTGAGCGTTTTTCATTTTCTTCTCTAGTTTCATGGACCGATGGTAGATGCAACATACATAGGTAAAATCAAATATATAAAACAAGGGAGAGGAGAAACTTTACAAAAAAAATGGGGGTGGGGAGACTATATACAATAAGGGTGGTGATGTTTTATATATAAAAAAGAAAGTAATGAAAAGAGAGCTTTTTTGTGAGGAGGTATTTGTTATTGAATCTAGGTAATGACAAGAATCGAATGGATCTTGCAAGATTTGAGAACTTTTCAAGGTAATTGGTTGTATAATTGCCTCAGAAACTATACCTAATGGTACTTAATGAAACTGAAAAATCATCTAATTCTAATTTTTAGGATATTAATCAATATACCCAACTTCACCAAGTGTAAACAACAGTACTGCAGCGACCGTGATCAAGCAAACCAAATTACACTTCTTTATTAGTATCTGGTTTATCTATTTATTATGGATATATGGCGGTATATCAGAATCATTAGATTATTAAACATTTTTGGTTTTTATGAAAATCATTCTTTAATTAATTATTATTATGACCATTATTTTATATTTTATCTTATTTGTATATGACTTTGATCTAAATATTTATTAATTATTTCTTTCTTATTAAAATTATTATAAGGAATCCATGTATTTTCATTTTTATCATAATATCTCCATTTAACCAAGAATAAATACTTATTATTTTCATATTTATGATCTATTATATTTTCAACTTCATAAGTTTTTATTGATTGTTTTCCTTTATTCTTACGTTTTCTTTTCTTTTCATTAAATTTAGGAATATCATCTTCACTTGAATCATTAATATCTTGGTTCTCTTGTATTTCATTATCGGGGGGTAAACCTTAGCATTATAATTTTAGCAAAATGATGATTAGCTAAAAAATTATAAGTAATATAATTTTTAAGTAATTATAATAAATTATGATTTTAGCAAAATGATGATGAAATTAATTTTTTGTTAAAAAAATAATTTCTTAACCCTTATGATTATTCTCAATCATTAAGTTTAAATCACTCTAAGTGGCACAACGGTAGTGAGCAAATCCCTTCTCTAGCCGAGGAATACTTGGACGAAGGCTAGCTTGACGGTGAAATCCTTAATTAAAATTAATTTACTGTTTACAGTAAAATTAATTGTTATGGATTGAACCTCATCACTATATTCATTATTTATATTACTATTACCTATATCTAGAGCTAATAATTCATCTTGTATATTTATCATTTCATTTAACTTTTGTTTATTTATTTCTTTATTTGTAATTACTATATCTATTAATTTTTTTTCAGAGGAAGGTGAGTCTTAGTATTATGTTTTCAATAATATAGTAAAAAAATAAAAAACTATAAATAATATCATTTTAAATAAATTATAAATAATTATATTATTTTATTTACTAAATAAAAAAACAAATTCTCAAACCTTATAGAATTCTCAACTACTAGAATGAATTTCAACTATTATGTTTAAGAAAAAACAGGCTAGGAAGAATAACGACGCCCAGTTTAGATAAAATTCAATGAAATTAGAATTCTACTAGAACGCTTGACAGAATAATAAAATATTATAAATTTACAGTTTACTGTAAAATTTATAGATATTGTTTATTCTCCAGAGGGGAATTCAAAATAATTAGTTTCCCAAAGTTTATGATGAGGTAAAATAGGAACATTAAATAATTCAGCGAATTTTTGTATATTTCTAAGTAAACAAGCAACCTTAATTTGTAAATTATAAAATTTAATATTATTCATTCTTACTACAGCACTATTATTATTGAACCTTTTGAATTTATTACCTATTTCAGCGAATTGATTTTCTACTTTAGAATGGAAACTACCAAATATATTATTAAAATGTTTTTCTGGTTCTGTTAGATTAACTTTATTTTTTTTACGAATTGGAAATACAAAATTATTATTTGAAGATTCAATGTCTTTTGTTTTAGCTAAGTCAGTAAATTTATTAATAAATAATGTATAACCTCCATCCATTGCTAAAACATCATAACTATGTATTTTTCTATATAACTTCATATTTAAAAACATTGATCCATCTGAACTATCAGCGCAATAATCACTATTAGAAATAAATAAAATCATATCATTAATATCAGTAATAATCTATGTATGCAAACCTCTCTTTTTTAATTTATATGAATATAATCTTTTATTTTTTATATCTGTATCAACATATTGAATATGAGAATCATGTCCATCAATAATTAAAGTAATATGTTTAAATAATTCTGGATTATTTTTTCTTGAACTATATAATCTTAATAAGATAGATGAAAACATGTTTTTATAACAATTATTTAAAATTTTATGTAATCTAATATAATTTTCTTCAAACATCCAAAATTTCTTATAAAAATCATAAAATGAACTATAAGGTAGATATCTTTTTATATTATCTTTTCCCGATTTACCTAAAACTAAATGATATAGTAAAAATAAACCTTTTTCGATTTCATTATATGGTCCTGGATATTCAATATTTGAATACAATACATTTAAAAAAAAGAATACTGCAGTATATCTTAACTTATTTTTTAATTCATTTTTAATTTTATCTATATTATTTATTTATTTTTATTTCAGTAAAATGTTTATGTTTGTAATTAATAATTTTCTAATTTTCATTTAAGAATTCCCAATTGTTGGTTTATTATTTTTTCAGCTTCTAAATTTATATTATTTTCACAATTATCTGAAATTTCCATTAGATCTTTTATATTATTAGTAGTAGCCATTTTTTTATAAGTGATAATAGAATATAAACAATAATATCAATGAAACAGGTCTCTTAACAGTATTATCTGCAATCAGGAAGAACCTTATAGCCTTAGACAAATGTCAAAAATTTATAAAATAATTATAATTATGTTTATATTTTGAGGGTTACTTAATATAATAGATAAAAATTCAATTTTTACAAAAAAGTAATTGAGTTTAAAATTGATTTATAATAATCATAAAATATACAACAATCATTAAATTTTATTAAAATGAAAAAGTATTGGTATATCCCCTATAGCTACTCTCCTATTATCTCCTTCTTTACATTGCTTGTCATTAGTTTTTGAGAACCCATAACTCTTGTAACCTCCAAGTGTCTTGAAATTTTGTTGCTGGATAATATCAATATATCTTACATTTTAAGTTTTACATTATTGTTACCAATATGCGTTTTTCTTATAACCATTGTTAAGGTTTTCTTTATTTAATGAAAAAAAAATTGTTTAAATAGACAGAATACATATTATATAATTACAATGAGGTGCAAATATACTACATATGTTTAAGAATTAATACATGTAGAAAGAGCGAGGCAGATGGAAGAGAGATAGAATATAGAAAAGGTATAGCCGATAGAGTATATTATGAACAACCTTTCAAGGTCTTTCTACAAATGGTAGAATCAACCAATCAGGTTCCTCTATCACCAGACACTTCTACCACCACCACCGACTTCTAAATAACAATCAATTGATTTCAAGTTACTGTTACTTACAGTCCAAGTCAAAAAAAGAAAACAAATTAACTTTATAGGGCAATAAATTTATCTTTTTGCTAGTAAAAGAAAGAACTTTTTTAAGAAAAAACATAGAGAATAATAGTATGTAACAGTGTCGGCCCAGATACTTACAATCGGGAACGTGAATGGGTAGACAGTGTGAATCAATACATAAGGTGAGATTCGGATATATCAAAGGATAAAACGATAGGGATCCATATAACTCAGGATCCCGTCTTTATATATACGTTGAGTAATAGGGGGCTAGCTATCGTCTATGTATTGATCTATATATACTTCTATCTAGAATATCCACGCCTATTACTCCATATTAAACTATGCGGTTGACTGCAAGTCATCCTATCGTCTGAACTATGCATTGTCGATCGTCAACCATGCAGGTTGGATATCGTCGTAACAGTATGCACCGTTACATCCTCCCCCGTCTACTTCAAGAGGTCAACTTAAAGTAAAACGTCAGGTGCTCGCTGTCGATCCGTCGACTCGTCCAAAGTAATTCTTGATTTGCGTCGTTTCAATCGCCGTCCTTTGTAGCTCGTTAATGTCTGTGCGTCGATCTGCAAGTAGTATGCACCGTCCTTGTGTGCGTCCAAGTGGGCTCGTATACTGGAACTCTTCTACAGCAGTGACGGATCGTTTTATGCGTCGACTGGATAGAAATCGTCCCAGTCTAGGGTTCTCCCCCCCGCAAATTAAAACGTCGCGAGGAGCTCCCAAAGAGTGATCGTCATGGTGAAATAAGTCCAGAGGGACTGTTAAGAAAAATTAATACCACAACCCATTGCACATACAGTTACCTGTTTCGTCTGTGTTTGGGGGGACGACCACGGCGTCGAGGAAGTAAATTCGTATGCGAAGCATTTGATGGCGTCGCTTCCTTGGATTGTTTGAAATCTTGATGAGCCTCGAGCCCATTGGTAAGGTGTTCGGCAGGTTCCCACGTCGCCTCGTGCAAGGGATAACCTTTCCATTTAACCAAATATTGTAGCTTGTTTCGTCGCTTGCGCTCGTCGAGAATGGCTTCAACTTCCCATTCGTCTTCGTCGTCAGAAACATTGGTAATCACTGGTGGTGGCCGTTCTGGCTTGCGTCCCACATCGTCCGGTTCCAAATATTTCTTGAGGGCGCTCACATGAAAAACGTTGTGAGCCCTGATCGAAGCCGGCAAATCAAGCTTGTATGCCACGGATCCAATACGTTCAAGAATTTTGTAAGGACCCGCCCACCGTGGAAGTAACTTTCTTGTGGGAGCGTTGGAATAAACATCAGGATTCAAGTGGGTCGTCTTGACTAATACGTCGTCATCCACGTCGAGTTCCAGATTACGTCGCTTCATATTGGCATACTTGGCTTGGCGATCTGTTGCTTCCTTGAATGCCTCAGTGACTTGAAGACGGATAGACTCCAAACGTGTAGCGAGAACGTCTGCTGAATCAACATCGGAGGAGGCAGATCCCGTGCCCAAAGCGAGTGACACCTGTCGTCCCAAGTCGGCATAAAAGGGTGTTACCCCTGTAGAAGCGTGCTTGGCGTCGTTGTAGGTGTGCTCGAGGACCGGCAGCCATTCGTCCCAATCCGATTGATTATATGCAACATAATGACGAAGCATATCTTCGAGCGTTCGATTCGTGCGTTCCGTCTGTCCGTCTGATTCTGGGTGTAGACTGCTGGACAAACTTCTTTGTACGCCAAGCATCGTCGTCAAGGCCTTCCAGAATCTAGAAGTAAAGCGGACATCTCGATCCGAGACTACGTCTGATGGTAAGCCGTGCTGTCGGCATATCTCACGCAAAAACAGATGAGCAAAATCCTCTGCTGTATCAGTCATCTTGCATGGAGCAAAATGTGCGCGCTTTGAAAACCGATCCACAAAAACGGCAATTGCATCGAACTTGTGTAGCGTCTTCGGCAAGTGTGTGATAAAATCAACCGAAATTGAGGTCCATCGTCCAGTAGCTAGTTGCAATGGCTGCAACAAGGCTGCTTTTTTGGCATTTGGTAACTTGGTACGCTGGCACATGTCACACGTCGCAATATAACGTCGCACTGTTTTGTTCATATGTGGCCAGTAGTAAGTTCGTCCAAGTCATTCGACCGTTGCATCGATGCCGCGATGACCGGCGATTGGTGCGTCGTGTGCGTCATGCAAGAGGGTGTTGAGAAGCGTTGGCATGCGCGGCACACAGATTTGGTGTCGTCCATCTTTTTTGCGATAGATGATGCCGTCGGCTAGTTCGAACTCTTCGTCGTCGTCGTTCGTCCGAAGCCGAGTCAAAACGTCTGCCCAAAAAGAATCGTCCTTGTAGTGCTGAGTGCATTCCTTGCCAAGCGTCTCCCCCCTCACTGTGAGGACCACAGCACAAAGTTCCATTGAGACGTCGGGGTGAGAAGGAGCGCTGGGCGGTTGTTTTGATAGAGCGTCTGCACCAGTATTCTGTTCTCGAGGAATATGATGCACGTCAAACTGATAGGCCATCAGCTTTTCCAACGAGCGGATCTGACGCTTGGAGAGATTCTTGTTGTTGGC